AAAAAAAAAAAGGGGGGGGGGGGGGGGGGGGGGGGGGCAGAAGAGAGTTTGCATGTCCCTTCCGGCAAAAATTCCTACCTCTCAGCGTTTTTTTATTTTATTAACTTCCGCGTTGCTTGTTTCAGTCGGTAGTCTATGAGTATCGTCCCCAAACTAAAATGGAAGTTTTCTTCTTTCTGCTCAAAGCTTTCCAACAGCTTTACAAAAACCTGCTGTGCCCACTGTTCTTATACAAGCTGAAGCCCCCTGTGTAGCAGGTCATATGGACAGAGAGTTGTACCCTGTGTGCATGTATTAGGGTTAAGGTTAGGGATACTTGTATTGGTTTTGGTGCCGAGTGCTCTGATACCTTCCCCGATACCGGTACTTCCGGTCAGAGGAAGATTTCCTCTAACCGGCAGTGCCGTAGGGGAACATGGAGCCAGCTTTCCGTGCGATCAGGAAGCTGGGCGGCGAGTTTTGACCTGCCTCCCTGCTTCCTGATGGGCCGCCAGAAAAGCCAGCTCCTTGCTGATTGGCTGGGAAGCTGGCTTCCTGGCCAAACAGCATCGAGACGGCCAAACGGCCGGCTCAATGTTGATTGGCTGAGAAGACGGCTTTCCAGCCAATCAGCAACAAGCCTGGCTTCCCGGCCAATCAGGAAGCTAGTAGGCGGGTCATTACTCGCCACCCAGCTTCCAGATTGGCCAGGAAGCCGGCTCGATGCTGATTGGCTGGGAAGACGGTTTCATAGCCAAGCCCAATCAAGTTGCCCAAACCACATGGAGCCAGCTTGCCCGGGAAGCCGGCTCCATGCCAGCGGAAGCACCAGTATCGGTATTCAGTATCGACGAGTAGTGAAAGCAAAATATCTGTACTCGAAAGCGGAAAAACCAGTATCGGTGCCTCCCTGGTTAAGGTTTATGGAATCTATACTATCTATTCAGAGAAAGTCAGCACACTTCCTTCTGCTGCTTAAAGCATAACTCCGGGCACAGATTTTATTAACCCTTCCAGTGGGGATCCCCCTCCCTGCCAGGGTTACTGCTCATTTTTGTCGAGGTGCTAAAATAAAAAAGTTATACTCACCTGATCCTCAAAGCTGGCTTGCTATTAGACCGGTCTGCCTCACTCTCACTCTGCTGCAGCAGTCTACGGTCCTGGAGTCATTAAGTTTTATATACTGTGTATAGGACGTGAGGACGCCAAGGGACATACCACATCTGCAGCGGAGGCGAAGACAGGCAAGAGGGAAC